GTTGATTGTAGGCTGATTTTGGGCTGATTTTGGACACATTTTGGACAGATTTTGTGTTGATTTTGGACTGATTTTGTGCTGATTTTTGACAGATTTTGGACACATTTTGTGCTGATTTTGGACAGATTTTAGGCTGATTTTGGACTGATTTTGGACACATTTTGGACTGATTTCGAACATAGATTCTGTTTGTCTGCTGCTTCACAGATTTTTGCATACATTCTTGTGTATTTGAACACAGGTTGACAGATTTGGACACATTTTCTTCTTAGATTTTGTTTATCTATTTTTCACACAGGTTGTTGAAGATAGATTTTAAGACATTTTTTCACACAGGTTTTTGAAGACAGCTTTTTTGAACACTGGTTTTTCACACAGTTTTGAGAACATATTTTTTCCACACTGGTTTTTCAAGATAGATTTGAAGACAGGTTTTTAACAGATTTGTAACAGCTTTTTTCACACAGATTTGGAACACATGTAGCAGACACAGCACAAATATAACAACATCAATTGGGAACATTAACTATAACAACAAAGTAGGGAACAACATCAATTTGTTCTCAACCAAAAAATAAAGAAACTGAACAATCCAAAAATATATTAAATAAATTATCCAAAACAAAATAAAATCCAAGTTTAGTCACATAAAAGGCATTACAATTACAACTTCCCAACTAACGAAAACTACCGCCACGGTCATTGTGGTTCATTTGTACATTGAAGTCAACAAATGAAGATGGTACGGCTCCATAAATGTGATGCGTAGCAGTCATGGATTGTTGAGTTCTCGTAAATCCCGGTGTGCCTCCAATACAGTCCGACGGGGTAAGCGATGTGCCAACTCCATAAATCTGAGTTGGGGGATTTATGAAACTTTGTCTTCTCATAATGTCCACACTTGTCGGGGTGAGAGATGTGCCTCCAATAGCATTGACCATGTGTCCCTATTCAATTAAAATGAAATGTTAAAATAAATTGGAGAATAACATAAATTGCTCAATGTAAAATCCTATGATGTATACGTACCGGCACACACATACTATTTTCCATGCCAACCACATAAGGATAAAGCTCTCTACGTACACTACATTCAGGTTGAGATTGACATTGACCTTCACCTTCACCTCCAAGCACCTTAGTACCCTATATTCATAAAAGTTAATGAATGCCTCAAATGTATGACATGATTACAATAAAATATGAGTTGAATAGAGAGTAATGAATACAAATTTACCTTTGATTTGTTGTGTTTTCTTTTGCTTGCCTTCAACCGATTCACTATTTGATCTACTTTGGCAACCTTTCTTTTAGTAACTGGACGACCTTTTCGCCGAGCAACCAAAGGACTAAGCAACTTGGTATGACTGATTGTGTGTCTATTAATGCTGCCAATTGGGGAAGATGGTACATTACTAGTAATAGGTGGTACATTACTAGTCGAAGGTGCTACATTACTCCCACCACCTTCATCATCTTTCATCACTTTTGCCTTGATTTCATCCAACCCACGGTCGATAAGTTTTATTTTCCCTTCACAGTTCCCAGCAAATTGTACAATGCCAACCAATTTTCTATTCATCTTCTCATACACCTTTGCATTGAAATTATCCCCAAAGCCAGTGTATGTGGTTTTTATGCATGTGTACCCTCTATCCAAATCTTTTCGCCATCGTGGTAGAATGTATTTATTTGGGACCTCATTTATGCATCTTGCAATGAGCACAACGAGTGAGTGAGCACACATGATGCCCCTAAATTCAAACAACCGGCACATACATTGCACATCAAATTCGGTCGAATTATAATAGACAACAAAGTCCACATGCTTCATCTTCCCAAAAAGTACCATAGCTTCCTTTACAAAATATGTACAAATTGAACCCTCTTCTTTGACCATAAACGGCTGACAATAAACTAGTCTCTTCATCTCTGCTTGAACTTCTTTGAATTTTGCATTGGTGTACGCATCCTGAAATTGCTTCTCAAAGCCATACACAGTTAGGCAATCAAAGACTTTGTGCCGAGACTTGAAGTCAGCTTTCTTCTCTTTCTCTACCTTACTTCTCAAGGCATTGTCATATTGTTCAACAAATTGTTTTAATGTAGTCTTTGGGTTGACATATCCATCAAAAAATGCATTCATACTCTCACTTCGTTGTGTCGTTGACATGCCAGCCCAAAAAATATCTTTGACATAAACAGGAACCCATCGCTGTCGCTCATCATATAACACCCCCAACCATCGATTCTCATAAAGATTGAATTTTGCAATCATGTCTTTCCATTTCATCTCGAATTCATCTTTTGTGAATGTGTCATACACTGCATTTTGCAAATCCATCTTCATGGATTCATATTGGGAATACCCTTTCAATTTCTCCGGAATTTTCTTCATGATATGCCATAAACACCATCGATGTCGAGTATTGGGGAAGACAATTTCTATCGCATTTTGCATAGCTTTGCACTGATCAGTTATTATAGCTTTTGGGGGATGATCTGACATGCAATTTAACCATGATTTGAACAGCCAAACAAATGTATCAGTGTCTTCACTAGATAACAGCCCACAACCAAGCAAAATCGACTGTCCATGGTGGTTAACTCCTACAAACGGAGCAAATGGCATATCATATTTATTAGTGAGGTAAGTTGTGTCAAATGAAACAACATCTCCAAATTCTTTGTAAGCCGCCCGACTCATTGCGTCCGCCCAAAACAAGTTTCTTATGCGAAAGTCAGTATCAACATCAATCATATAATAGAAACTCGAATTTTGTGCATGCATCCTCAAAAAATATTTTTGAAGTGCATCGGAATCTCCTTCTCCAAGCCTTAATTTTCTAGCTCTGTCAATGTAATTTCGTGCATCTCGCTCATCAAATGTTAATGACTCATAACCCCCAGCTTCAACAACCATTGAGTGATAATTTCTAGACACCCCAATCCCTGCTTGATCATTAATTTCTAATCTTCTCTTCACAGGAGTAAGAATCTTCTTATTCATTGCAAAATGACGTGAGTCGGTGGGAATCAAGTCATGGTTATGGTCAAGGTTAACTGTGGTTAACATAAATCTCCCATCCTTTTGTAAGGTTACCCGTACCCTTGGTTTGCAATCAATTTTTGTAGACAAAGATGGCTTTAGAGGGTTTACTTCTGATTTTTTGATTCTCTTTCTCGATCGAGAACATTCAATCCCAAAATATCTTAATTCCCCATCATCGCCACAAACTTGAGTTTTATAAGCTATGGAAAATCCAACATGTTTAGCATATTTGGCATAAAATGAATGCACTTCTTGCTTTGAGCTAAAACACATACCCCTCTTCGGTTCCTCAACTTCTTCACTCTGATTTAATAAAGGATTCTTAGCACTGTTTGAACCATTCTCCATTTCTGCTCATTCAAAAATACCATATTAAATCAAATGATTTAATAGATTAATAGAATAATAGAACCAAGCTATTATGTTATTACTCTGTTATACTTACACATATACACACAGATTAACAATGCAAGCTCTTGAACAAATTATAACATATTTCCCTTTCAACAGACTATAACATATTACTCTTTCAAAAATTAACAGAGCTTCAAATTGTAACAATTTCTAATCTGTAAGAGCTTCAAATTCTAACAATTACCAGACTAGCAGATTACAACAATTTCTAACAATGCAAGTTACCAGATTAACCCAAAATCTGTCCAAAATTAAATTAACAATTTATAACAATTTAACAGATTTGGACTGTCATATTATCTGTTAATTAACAATATATAGATTTTGGACTGTTAATTAACAGATTAGCATTCCCAAACAATATATAGATTCCCAAACAATTTAACAGATTTGGACTGTCCAAACTGTAAATTGTTATAATCTGTTAATTAGCAAATTTTGGACAGAAATTTTGAACACATATTAAAACCGTTAATTTTGACAGAAATATGTTAATTAATAGATTAAAACTGTAGAGCTTAAAACTGTTAATTAACAATTTCCATAGCAGATTAACAGAAATTATATTTCATTACATATTTGGCATTCTCAAAATCTTATTTTATATATCTATATATATATATATATATATGTATGTATATATGTGTGTAAGTATAGAGGAAGAGATGGACAAAAGCCACAGATAAACTTACCTGGATGAGGGACAACAATCGGATAGGGAGACGCCGGACGAGGACGCCGGAGACGGTGCACTAACTTGAATACGTCGGATGGTGGAGGAGAGGGACGATGGAGGACGCTTGAGCGAAAGGGGGAAGACGCTTGAGCAAGACAAAGACGGGGACGCAGACACGATTTCTTCTCCCTGGAACAGCCCCGATTCAGACGAGAGAGGGAAGACGCTTGAGCGAGACGAAAACGGGGATGGAGACACAATTTCTTCTCCCTGGAATAGAGCTTCAAAATAGACATGATTTCTTCTCCCTCTGTTATCAGATTTTTGGGCGGGAATTTTTTTTTTTTTTTTCAAAGTGCGTGAAACACACGCACTGAAATATGAAGGTCTGATTTTTCCTTCCTTATTTGATGCCACGTAATTAGAGCTCCGATTAGTGGACGTAGTTTAGTGGTCTGAATCGGAGCTGATCTGATTGCCCCCATGTGCTGACAATACCATACCTCATCATTCAATAGCCCAAGCTACACAATACAAGCTACATGTATAGTCACAGGAATCCACGTGAACCACTCTTCCCAATACAAACAATAGCACGCACATTTTGAACCTCACTCTGCACAATACACAGCAGCACGCAATGGGCGGGATTATATCACTCGAGCGCACCACGCGCAAGCTCACCCGAGCTCACAACGCGCTGACTGTACATACAAACGAACAAGATCATCTTCATAATAATACCCACTGTAACGACGTCGACAGAAAAACCCATGGCCAGAGCGGCAAACCAGCTAGAATAACACGCCGGCAAGAGTTTAAATCGCAAAGACGTCGGCATACAAACTCCGGCAGCCAAGCGACATAACCCAAGAAGCTCAGAAACCCAGCGACGCAACCAGAAAAATATGTAGCTAACGCCGAAGGGCCCATTGCAGCAGCAACATCAAAACTTAATGAAGCTTAAGCTATAAACACCAAAACCCAACTCCGCCGATAACACCACACCACCAACGGCGCCCATCATCGACGTAAAAACTTCGGACAGCCCAAAACCAGCATCAGAGAACAGACCAGCGCCGGAAATGAAATACCGAAACGCTGCCATGGATGGACTCCAGCCAAGAACACACACCGACTACGGAGAAGACCGGTTGCACCAACTTCACACAACATGATCAGAACTACCCATCTTGAAAACTCAAGCTGGACAGAAACGACATGAATAGAATATCACTCCAGCCAATAAATGGAATATGGCCGTAACAAATGAGGCACTGAAAAAGCACCATAACCCAGACTCACATAACTCACTATACGGATAACAAACCAGCCGAAAAGAGTTCATCGGACTGATAATTCACACAGTACACATTCTCCCTCACAGGGTGAGAAAGACAATCAGACAGTGCACCATTTTCACTCTGGGGGGAGCTTTCTCTATCTAGATTCTATAGAGAGAGGCTCTGCTTTCTTCCCCTCATTCAATTACCTAAGTGTTCAATTCTCAAATCCAAAAAGATGAATTTTAATTCCCTTTGATTTTCTTCATACTTCTCTTTCTATTCTCTAACTTTCTCTTCTAGCTCTCAAGAAGAATGTTTCTCTCTAACCTTCTCTGTCCTTCTCCATCCTTCTCTATTTTGTTCTAGGAACTAATTAGCTTAGGCCACTAATGGTTTCATTAGCTTGATCGGCCAAGTTTAACTCAAACTAACCTTGCCTCCTCCAAGAAATAGAATTTTCTGTGTAATTGTATCTTACCGACATTAGTTTAACGTAGGCACCTAATTTAAGGTTTTCTAAGTCACATAAGTGTTCAATTCTCAAGTCTAAAAGGATGAATTTGAATTCTCTTTGATTTTCTTCCTATATCACTTTCTTTTGTATGACTTCCTCTTCTACCTCGCTTCAATTTAGTTTTTGGCTTATTTTCTTTAGTTTGTCCAGATAGATAATGGTTTGGTCGTTAGTCTTTCTGGGTAATTCTGGATTGGCTTAGTCTTTTTGCTTTTCTTTTGGTTCTTGTATAGTGCTTTGGTTAGGGCCTGGGGTATGCCCCTTGTCGTGGTGTAAGTTTTTTGTCTTTTATTTTATGACTTATCCATCCAAAACAAAATTCCTCTTCTACCTCTCAAGAAGAATGTAGTCTTTCTGGGTAATTCTGGATTGGCTTAGTCTTTTTGCTTTTCTTTTGGTTCTTGTATAGTGCTTTGGTTAGGGCCTGGGGTATGCCCCTTGTCGTGGTGTAAGTTTTTTGTCTTTTATTTTATGACTTATCCACCCAAAAAAAAATTCCTCTTCTACCTCTCAAGAAGAATGTTTCTCTGTAACTTTCTCCATCCTTCTCTATTTTGTTCGAGAACTAATTAGCTTAGGCCCCTAATTGTTTTGTTAGCTTAAGTGGGCAAGTTTAACTCAAACTAACATTGCTTAGCCTCTAACAAAAAAAATTCTGAGTAATTGTAGCTTTTGTTTGACTTAAGCACCTCATTTAAGGTTTTCAAAATGACCTAAGTGTTCAGTTGTCAAGTACAAAAGGATGAATTTGAATTCCCCTTCATTTTCTTCCCGTTTCTCTTTCTTTTCTCTAACTTCCTCTTTTAGCTCTCAAGAAAAATGTTCCTCACAAACTTTCTCCCTCCTTCTCTATATAGGCACTAATTAGCTTAGCCACTAATTGTTTCCTTAGCTTAAGTGGTCAAGTTTAACTCAGACTAACCTTGCTTAGCCTCTAAGAAAGAGAATTTTTTGAGTAACGATATTAGTTTAAAACTTAATGAACTCGTTTAGTGATTTTTTTTTTCTTTTTTTTTTTTAGGAGGGTACTTTTAAGGTATTCTAAATCGCCTAAGTGTTCAATTCCCAAGTCCAAAATGATGAATTTGAATTATCTTTCATTTCCTTCCTATTACTCTTTCTTTTATCTAACTTTCTATTCTACCTCTCACGAAGAATGTTTCTCTCCAACTTTCTCCATCCTTCTCTATTTTGTTCCAGAAGCTAATTAGCTTAGGCCACTAATTGTTTTATTAGAGCAACCAAGTTTAACTCAAACTAACCTTGCTTAGACTCTAAGAAAGAGAATTTTCTGAGTAATTGTAGCTTAATGATATTAGATTAACTTAAGCACCTCATTTAAGGTTTTCTAATTCACTTAAGTGTTCAATTCAAAAGTCCAAAACGATGAGCTTGAATTCTCATTGCTTTCTTTCCTATTGGTGTTTCTTTTCTCTGACTTTCTCTTCTACCTCTCAAGACGAATGCTTCTCTCTACCTTTCTCTATCCTTCTCCATCAACTGTTTTGTTCAATGAACCAATTGGTTTAGGTCGCTAATTGTTTCAGTTGCTTATGTGGTCAAGTTTAATTCAAACTGACCTTGCATAGCCTCTAAGAAATAGAACTTTCTGAGTAATTGTAGCATAAGGATATTAGTTAAACTTAAGCACCTCATTTAAGGTTTTCTAAATCAACTAAGTGTTCAATTCTTAAGTCCAAAGTGATGAATTTGAATTCCCTTTGGTTTTCTTTCCTATTATTTTTTCTTTCCTCTAACTTTCTCTTCTACCTCTGATGAAGAATGTTTCTCTCTACCTTTCTCAATCCTTCTCCATCATTCTCTATTTTGTTCTAGGAACAAAATTGCCTAGACCGCTAATTGTTTCATTTGCTTAAGCAGGCAAGTTTAACTCAAACTAACCTTGCTTAGCCTCTAAGAAAGAGAATTTTATGAGTCATTGTAGCTAAAGGAAATTAGTTCAACTTAAGCACCTCATTTAAGGTATCTAAATCACCTAAGCGTTCAACTTTTTTGGGTGAATATAAGCATTCAATCCTCAAATCCAAAATGTTGAACTTGAAATCCTTTTGATTTTCTTCCTATTTCTCTTTCTTTTTTTTCAAACTTTCTCTTCTAGATCTCAAGAAGGAATGTTCCTCTCTGACTTTCTCCGTCCTTCTCCTTCCTTCTCTGTTCTGTTCCAGGAACTAAATAGCTTAGGCCGTTAATTGTTTCATTAACTTAAGTGGCCAAGTTTAACTCAAACTAACCTTGCTTAGCCTCTAAGAAAGAGAATTTTCTGAGTAATTATAGCATAACGATATTAGTTTAACTTAAGTACCTCATCTAAGTTTTTCTAAATCAGCAAAGTGTTCAATTCTCAAGTCCAAAAGGATGAATTTGAATTCCCTGTGATTTTCATCCTAATTTTAATTCTTTTCTCTAACTATTCATTTTTTCTTTTTTTTTGGGAGGGGGGTGAATAAGAAATAAATAAAACAAGAAAATTTACACGACTACAATTTCTCTTTCTTTGCTCCAACTTTCTCATCTAGCTTTCAAGAAGAAAGCTTCTATCTAACTTTCTCCGTCATTCTCTGTCCTTCTCTACATTGTTCTGGGAACTAATTAACTTAGCCTCTTAGAGATAGAATTTCCTGCGTAATATTACTTTAATGATATTAGTTTAGCTTAATCACCTCATTTAAGGTTTTCTAAATCACCTAAGTGTTCAATTCTCAAGTCCGAAAAGATGAATTTGAATTCCCTTTGATTTTCTTCCTATTTCTCTTTCTATTCTCTAACTTTCTCTTCCATCTCTCAGGAAGAATGTTTCTCTATAACTTTCTCCGCCCTTCTCCATCTTTATCTTTTATGTTCTGGGAACTAATTAGCTTAGGCCACTAATTGTTTCTTTTGCTCAAGTGGCCAAGTTTAACTGAAACTAGCAATGCTTAACCTCTAAGAAAGAGAATTTTCAGAGTAATTGTTGCATAACGATATTAGTTTAACACAAGCACCTTATTTAAGGTTTTCTAAATCACCTGAGTGTTATTCACCCAAAAAAAAAATCACCTGAGTGTTCAATTCTCAAGTCCAAATTGGTGAATTTGAATGCCCTATGATTTTCTTCCTATTTCTCTTTCTTTTCTCTAACTGTCTCTTCTCGCTCTCAAGAAGAATGTTTCTGTCTAACTTTCTCCGTCCTACTCTATTTTGTTCTAGGAACTAATTTCCTTAGGCCACCAATTATTTTCATTAGCTTAAGTTGCCTAGTTTAACTCAAATTAACCTACTTAGCCTCTAAGAAATAGAATTTTCTAAGTAATATTAGTTTAACGATATTAGTTTTGCTTAATCATCTCATTTAAGGTTTTCTAAATTACCTAAGTGTTTTTTTTTTTTTGGGTAAGTAAGTCATAAAATAAAAACAGTAAAGTGTACAAGTTTACAAGGGGCATACCCCAGGTACGCCCTACAACAAATAATAAAAAACAACAGAAACTACCACTACAACAGAAAACAACAGACAACACCAAAAACACAAGATCCTCCACTTTGCCCATATATCCTTTTTGTCCCCAAGTAACCCCTACCATCAGAGACAATAGATGGAAACTTGAGGTGGATATATGGGCAATAAACAAAACACAAAACAATGCTTATAACACAACAGACACACTCACAAAACAAAACAACAACCCTCAAGCCGAATCAAAGATGAAAACCAGCCCCACAAACTCCCAGTCTTTATTGTAGATTTTTTGGGTGGATAAGTCATAAAATAAAAGACAAAAAACTTACACCACGACAAGGGGCATACCCCAGGCCCTAACCAAGCACTATACAAGAACCAAAAGAAAACAAAACCTAAGCCATTCCAGAAATTACCCAGAAAGACTTACACCGAACCATTATCAAACTAGACAAATTAACAAAAGCAGAAACTAAATAAAGCAGACATACAAAATAGGAAGGAACCAAAGTGTGTTCATGTGCCGCATGAAAAGGCAATGAGGGACATGAACACACCCGATATCTAAGTAGCAAAAAAGTCGGAAGGAAACATAGAACATCCGTGTACACCCCACACGGGTAGGCAAAGTACCAAACATACTCTTAAAGAAGACAAACATAAAAGAAATTTTTTATGTCTTTATTGTAGATAAACGCATGGAATCCAATAAGCAACCCACTCCTCACAACCGTGACATCCAAGCCACTTAACCAAAGTCGTGACAGAGGAAAAAAAATATACCCCATGAGAAATCACAACAAAGTCACATGAAGCTAGCACGATCAGTAACCATAATCCACGGTCTTGGG